TCCCAGCTTCCTAGTGGGTCTTTCCAATATGCAGACTCAGGTACTCTTTATTTCAGGACAGTTTTGTCTGATTCAATTTTTTGGTTTATTTCTCTAATCCATTTAAATTTTTTAATTTTTAATTTTTTATATTTTATTGCAGTAACATTGGTTTATAACATTATGTAAATTTCAGGTGTACATCATTTTATTTAGATTTCTGTGTAGATTACATCATGTTCACAACCTAGATGCTAATTGCAATCCATCACCACACACATGTGCCTAATGACCCCTTTTGCCCTCCTCCCTCCCCACTTTACCTCTGGTAACCACCAATCCAATCTCTGCCTCTATGTGATTGTTTGTTGTTGTTTTTATATTCCATTTATGAGTGAGATCATACGGTATTTGATTTCTCCCTCTGACTTATTTCACTTAGCATAATACCCTCAAGGTCCATCCATGTTGTCATGAATGGCCGGATTTCATCATTTTTTATGGTTGAGTAGTATTCCACTGCATATATATTCCATATCTTCCATATCCATTCATCCCTTGATGAGGATCTAGATTGCTTCCAAGTCTTGGCTATTGTGAATAATTCTGCAATGAACATAGGGGTGCGTGTATCTTTATGCATTCATGTTTTTATATTCTTTGGATAAATTCCCAGCAGTGGAATAGCTGGATTCTACGGTAGTTCTATTCTTAACTTTTTGAAGAATCTCTATACTGTTTTCCATAGTGGCTGCACCAGTTTGCACTCCCACAAGCAGTGTATCAGAATTCCCTTTTCTCCACATCCTCTCCAACATTTATTGTTTCCTGTATTGTTAATTATAGCCATTCTGACGAGAGTGTGGTGATATCACATTGTAGTTTTGATTTGCGTTTCCTGACTGTTAATGATGTTGAACATCTTTTCATGTGCCTGTTGGCCATCTATATATCTTCTTTGGAAGACTGTGTGTTCAGATCTTTTGCCCATTTTTTAATCGGGTTGTTACTTTTTTTTTATTGTTGAGATGTATGAGTTCTTTATATATTTTGGATGTTAACCCTTATCAGATATATGGTTTACAAATACCTTTTCACAATTGTTAGGTTGTCTTTTTACTCTGTTGATGATTTCCTTTGCTGTGAAGAAGGTTTTTAGTTTGATGTAGTCCCATTTGTTTATTTTTTCTGTTGTTTCCCTTGCCCATTCAGACACGGTACTTGAAAATATGCTGCTAAGACCGATATCAAAGAGTATACTGCCTATGTTTTCCTCTTGAATTTTTATGGTTTCAGCTCTTCCATTCAAGTCTTTCATCCATTTTGAGTTAATTTTTTTGTATGGTGAAAGATAATGTTCTACTTTCCTTCTTTTGCATGTGGCTGTCCAGTTTTCCCAACACCATTTATTGAAGAGACTTTCCTTTCTCCATTGTATTTTCTTGGCTCCTTTGTCAAAAACTAGCTGTATATAGATGTGTGGGTTTATTTCTGGGCTCTTAATTCTATCCCATTGATCCATGTGTCTGTTTTTGTGCCAGTACCATGCTGTTTCAGTTACTATAGTTTTGTAATATACTTTGAAATCATGGAGTGTGGTATCTCCAGCTGTGTTCTTTTTTCTCAGGATTCCTTGGGCTATTTGGGGTCTTTTGCTATTGCATATATATTTTAGGATTCTTTGTTCTTAATACCTATCCTTCTCAAACTCTTCCAAAAAATTGAAGAGGAGGGGAAGCTTCCAAACTCATTCTATGAAGCCAACATTACCCTGATACCAAAACCAGATAATGACAATACAAACAAGAGAAAACTTACAGGCCAATGTCCCTTACGAACATTGATGCAAAAATCCCCAACAAAATACTAGCAAACCGAATACAACAATACATTAAAAAGATAATATACCATGATCAAGTGGGATTTATTCCAGGGATGCAGGGATGGTTCAACATCCACAAATCAATCAATGTGATACACCACATTATCAAAATGAAGAATAAAAATCACATGATCATTTTCATAGATGCAGAGAAATCATTTGACAAGATTCAGCATCCATTTATGATAAGAACACTGAATAAAATGGATACAGAAGGAAAATACCTTAACACAATAAAGGCCATGTATGACAAACCCATAGTTAATATCATTCTCAATGGAGAAAAACTGAAGCTATCCCTCTAAGAATAGGAATTAAAGATGCCCACTTTCACCACTCTCATTTAACATAGTAGAGGCAATCCTGGCCAGAGCAATCAGGCAGGGAAAAGAAATAAAAAGGATTCGAATGGAAAGAAAGAAATAAAACTGTCACTATTTGCAGATGACATAATTTTATATTCAGAAGACCTTAAAGAATCCACCAAAAAACTTTAGAAATAATGAACGAATACGTAAAGTTGCAGGATACAAAATCAACATACAGAATTCAATTGTTTCTATACACTAACAACAAAATAGCAGGAAGAGAAATTAAGAATGCAATCCCAGGCTGACCCAATGGCGCAGCAGTTATGTTTGCACATACTGCTTCGACAGCCTGGGGTTCACAGTTCGGATACCGGGTGCGGACCTACGTACCACTTGTCAAGCCATGCTGTGGCAGGTGTCCCACATATAAAGTAGAGGAAGATGGGCATGATGTTAGCTCAGGGCCAGTCTTCCTCAGCAAAAAGAGGAGAATTGGTGGCAGATGTTAGCTCAGGGCTAATCTTCCTCAAAAAAAAAAAGAAAAAGAAAAAGAATGCAATCTCATTTAAAATTGCAACAAAAAGAAATACCTAGGAACAAACCTAACCAAAGAGGTTAAAGATCTGTACACTGGAAAGTGTAAAACGTTGTTGAAAGAAATTGAAGAAGACACAAAGAAATGGAAAGATATCCTGTGCTCTTGGATTGGAAGAATTAACATATTAAAAATGTCCATACTTCCTAAAGCAATTTACAGATTCAATGTAATCCTGATCAAAATTCCAACAACAGTTTTCACAGAAATAGAACAAAGAATCCTAAAATTTATATAGAACAACAAAAGACCTTGATTCTATTTTTAAATATTAATTCTATTGTATTGTTTAGTTTTCTTCTTCAGGGTCTCTGATTATACGTTTATTATTACCATTGTGTCTGCCTTCTGTTTCTACCACTTCATCTTTGGCCCTTTTTACTTCTTTTCTTATCTTATTTTCATTTTATTAGTAATTTTCCTGCCTTTCTTTAACAGTCTTCCTTTGAGAAATAATTTTGTATTTTCTCCTATTTCTTTCCTGAGCACAATCAACTCTTTTTACTGCTTCCTGATATGTATTTGTTGAGTTTTGGTCCGTTTCTGTTCTGTTTCAAAATGGTTTTTCCTATCCTCAAATGCACATTGAGGATACTTAATTCTGTTTGGAGTCTAATCTTATAATTTCCTTCTGCTTTATGTTTCTACAGGGAAAACACTTTTTGTCAATTAAGATGTGCTAAATCACATTTTCTGATATGTTAGGGCAATTTTGACTAGATTTACTCAACTTTCTTTAGCTAATTCTGTGGATTTGAGGTGATTTACAAGATTAATAGTTATAATGGCATATTCCTCTGTCAGTGCTTCGAAAGTCTAGGATCTTCAGTGAATTTTCGTCTTTTTTATATGTGTTTGGTTGAGGAGGAACAAATGTCTTTCCCCTTTGCTTTTCCTCTTATCAGTTAATTGCCAAAAGTGTTTCTCCATCGTTTTTGCCCTTTTTCTTCCCCAGAAGCTTTGAGGGGCATCATTTCACGTGGCAAGTACTTGTAAATTCCTTCTCATCAGGCATGCTCTGAACAACCAAGACACACTGTTAGTATTTTCTGAATGGATATAATTGTTCTGGTTGTGTTTTTGTTTTAACCTGACTCCAGTCACTAGCTCCCTTCTTGTTTCTTCCTTGCACATTTTTCAGTCTGCTCTTGCTTGATCTCAAAATCTTATGAGATGGTGGGAACACAAGAGATCATTTGCTGGGAATTGGTGGTTTTTTCTTACTTTTTATTTTGGTTACAGTTATTTTTAAATTGCCATACTCTATCTTAAGGAATGTGCAATGTGTCATTCATGTGTAGTTTGTTTATTGTTCTTGTTTTGCTCTATGATTATGTAGGAAATATTGAGAGACATGGACTTAAATGCTACTACTTCTTCAGTTCCTCTCTTCTCTTTGCCCTGAGTAATCAGTGTTCAAATTCTTCTTGCAGGGAGTATCTAGAAGGCATTATTCAAATGCTTCTCAGTCTTAGGTTAGCACTATTCTTGAGTCCTTACAGTGTACCATAGCCTAACTAGGTCTAAAGTAAATTTAATATTCTCCTTATTAGAAATTTCTTCACTCATGCCCTTAAAACTACTCCCACAAAAGTGAGGGGATAAGATTGCGGGGTATCTAGGAAGATCTTCTGCATTCAATATGCTTAAAATCCCAGCGTAAATAACTCTAGGGTCCCAATATCCTAAATGTCTTTCTTGTGACTAATGAGCACACTCAGCAACCAAAAATGTAGCTTCACCTCTGAAGTTCAGATCTAAAAGAGCCCTTAGAAATTATCTGGTATGATTAGAAATGAAAAACTTAGGTAAATAAAACGATTTTTTAAAATCGCCATAGATATTAACTGAGTCACTACCAAAAGCCATTTCTCTTGTTTCTCAGTCCACTCTTGGTTTTTGTTTTTGGTTTTGGTTTTGGGCATCCTATGCATGTTCATTTATTTTGTACTTAGAAAAGAAATTGCCCACCCCTCTGCTCCATTCCCCCAAACAGTGTCTTTTTAGAAACATTTAAAAATCAAAACCAAATGAAGATAGACAAGTTAATTTCAGCACTATTATTATTCAGTGTAGCTCTCATCATTATTAGAGTTTAAATTTCCTACAAGTGACCTATGTCCAAATGTCTTACAAGAAAATCCTGTCGATTGGCCAAATGGAAAATTTTACCTTATAAGATGGCAAATTCTAGGACAAAAATAGTCTCTGTGTTGGAATAGCCTTTCCTTTTAAAAGTATGGAAGGCTCCATGAATTTGCACGTCATTCCTACTCAGGGGTGAGGCTAATAGTCTCTGTATCATTCCAATTTTAGTGTTGGTACTGAAAAAGTGAGCACTAGTGCTGCTTCTTGTGCTTGAATGCCTAGTTTGTAAGAGAAAATACTCAACCGTATTGAGAACTACATTGTCATTAAGGGTTAAGTTTAGTTCTCCAACCTGAAGAGAAAACTCAGACTCTATATACTTCCCATAAGTTAGTTTACTGCCAACCAGAGCTTCTGAATAACACAGAGAACACAAATAACAGTATTACTTGTGCCTTGAGTCGGTATCAAACCAGCCAAAAGCAAATAAAGTTGATCCTTACACCAACCGGGAAATGTATGATCTCCAGCAAGTTTTATGAAATATTGAAAGTTGTTATCAACCTTCATTTCCACTGTTATAGATTGGTGGTCCTCTGTGGACTGATGAACTAGGTAGGAATCCATGAACCAGATGATTTTTTTAGATCCATTTTAAGTAGGACATTCTTTGCCTTCTGATAATATATCAAATCATTGTGTTATTCAACAGAAGACCAAGAAGACCTACCTCATTATAAATATGTTAATTGTTAATAAGGAATTTTGCTTTTGATGTATTCATAAAGAACTGTTTTCTTCCATGATGCAAAAAATGAGTAAGTTTATATATATGAAGGTAGGGTAAAGATCCATCAAGATGGACTTTCCAAGCTCTCAAATACTTGAGCCTCTTTTTAATACAGTGTTCAAATCTAGGATGAAATAAACAGATTGGTTTTGCTAGAGACGCTTATTTCTCACCACCATCACCTGTGGGTATTACGTACATGAGTGCACAGTTTTGTCTTAGAAGGGAAGAGGGGAGACTGTCTTTATGAGCTGATTTTCACATAAGTGACATTTTCTCATGTTGCCAACACTCAATATTCTACCCATGCACTTACAAGTTATCATGAACACTTGAATGCAAATGTGATGCTAACCCTGAATGAAGCACATCTTTTCTCTTAAAGCCATTGGTGCCGAAACAATGGCAAGTAATAAACACTCACCACTGGCCCATTTCCACAGTGAAGTTTCTCATTGCAAACTCACAGACAACTTTTGGCCTCTGGACCCGAAGACCATCAATTACCCACCTTACAGAGATAGAATCCAGTGAACTGGTAGCATCATTTGGCTGTCACCCAGTTAACATCCCATCATAGATTGAAAAGTAATTCGCCCAATATTTCAACTGCCAGGGAGAATTTTTTATTAGCTTTTGGATAGGTTTGCCTTTCAATCAGGTGATTTGAATAACTTCTTGGTAGAAAAGATGCTGCCCTCCGATAATGATTTTGCATTTCACCTCATCATTAATGCTTTGGACCTCAAGGGAAGTCACTGTGCCTTTTATGAAGGGCAAAGCATTTTATAACCTTAATAAAGACTCATAGCCTCAGGAACAGCAAGTGTGAGCAAGTGTAGGGGATTGATTGAATAAAAATGTAACTAAATTGCCACTTTACACTACACTAGTTGGAGAATTTCAAATGCAAATCAATGGTTAAAGAGGACAATGGCACCCCAAACTTCACTGCTATTCAAAAAAACACACACAGAAACTGGCATTATTCAGAGAAAAATGAGAGAAATTATCTTTTTCTCCTTTCTGGAAAAGGCTGTTTTCTTTAACTTTATATTTAATTGCTAAATATTTTATATGAGTGTTATACAGAGATAGGTTAATAAGCATCTTGATAAATTTAAATTCCAAACAATTAATAGTCACAGTGGTTCCTAGTTATGTAAATTTATTCCTACATAGCATTTAGGTCACTGTATCTTGAAGTGTGAAATGAATACAAGATAATAAGCAAGAGTGATTTGGAGAATTACATTATTGTCTACATTTCCCAAGGGATAAGTCACTTTATCCCAAATATTACTAATAATTTACAGCTTTCGATAACTTACTTAAGGGTAATCTCCAGTAGAATCATCTTAATTTGCAAATTCAGTGAACTTTCTTTCAGTTTTCCTACGTTTCTACTTCCTTCCTTCAGGCATAGTTCACTGGCCATATTTATATTCGCAGGAACTGAGAAAGAAAACAGGAGCGGTTATGCCAGGCATTGTGATAGAATAACAACTCATCTTCTTTTTCACAGAAACCTTTAGAGGAAGGTCTATTATTCCTATTTACAGACTGTGGATCAGAGAGGTTAAATAATTTTGCAAGGTCATATTCCTGATGAGTATCAGAGCTGAGTTCTGCTGAATTCATCCTGTCTTTCAAGAACAATAAATCATACTGTCTACTGCAGCAATAAAAGAGAGCAGGCTTGGGGGTCGGGGAATGATCTGGAGTCGGACAATCGTTGGAAGACCTGAAATGATCCTCAGACTAGTAATACGCTTGCCCAGAGGGCTGGTTCTCAGGGTGAGTACTGGGAAGCCTGACATGACAGGCTGACCCCGAGGCAAGTAAGGCTCTGGGTTGAGTTAGCAGCGTGAAGTGGAAACTGAATAGTCAGCCTGGTAGAGTGGCAACTGGCTAGAAGGCCAATGAGTTTCCCAAGAAATCATCCCATAAGGTGCAGGAAAGTTTCAAATTTTCGATTTTGTTTACTACTCTATGAACTTGAGCTTTGTGAGGGCAGAATGTGGATCTATTTTTCACTTTGTTCCAAATATCCAGAAAATGCTTGCTAAAAAGCAGGTTCTCATAATAAATGAAAGTGGTCAAAATTCAAGCTAGGCAGAGGACAAAAGTCAGGTTTCAGGCCCATCCTAAGCCAAGGGCACTATTCCTGGGAGTAGGTGACACCCAGCAATTGGAACACATTCATATGTCCAGGAATTCCAGAATTTAAAAACAATGCCTATAAACATGAACTTCTTCATTAAGATCTGCCACATCAATATACTGACTTTTAAAACCAGAGCTTCTCTTGAGCTGGCCAGACTTGCATTACAGAGCAGAGAGCCATTTGATTGTTTGAAGTTTATTCAATATAGTCCTACTGTCTTTGCAAGTTGTAGATATACCCACCATTAACCCAAACCTGGACCTGACCTGTCCTGGGTCACTCTCTCCAGCTCCAACAAGCACCATGTCTCAGCACAGGCACTAAAATGTCTTTATCTTCTTACTTTAACCTTCAATTATTCACTCATTCATTCCTTTGTCCTCAAATATTTATTAATGCCATACTGTACCAGGAAATGGGGATAAAATAGTTAGCTTAATAGTCATCATGGAGCATCCTCGTTGGCAGGGAAAACAGGAAACTAGAAAGAACTTACAACGTAAAAGGCTTTGATAAGTATGAAATACCAGCAAATCACACACCTGGTATTCCCAGTTATTTTGCCTGAGGTCAGAGCATCCTCCTGGCATCTTCTCCCTTTATTCTAGTCTTCGTGTTAGTAGATATAGCAAAGGGACATTTTCAAGGAAATCGATCAACACAGGATGTGTCACTCACATCTCAGCATCAAGAATAGCTCTACTTCTTGCATCAGCTTGTTTGTCTTCACGGACACTGTGAATCTCATGTTGATCTGTATTCCCTCGTTCCTTTTAAACGAGGACAATTAAAGCTAGACGCGCAACCTCACCTGCAGGTTCATTTCTTCCTTTCCTGATCTTGTTTCCCATTTGTCTCATTTTCTTTACTACTAACTTCATTCTCTTATCTTTTCTAAGTTGCCTCAATGAGGGGGATGAGATGGGATATGAGTAAATAAATATATCATGCCAGAAATATTCCTTTTACCTATTAGGCATCTGGCAACTTGGTAGCCAGCATATTGCCTTGTATTTTTATTTTCCTTCCTGAACAACTGAGAATGAGATTGAAATTTCCTTTTAATATTTAAGTGTTGAGACACCTAGAGGTATTACTTCCAATACAATGAAGTAAGACAGAGGTAGAAAGACTATACGTTCACTTATTCGTTTATGCGTTCCTTTATTCACCACTTTCTTATTATGGGGTCACTCTGTGCCAGGTACTGTTTTAAACACTGGGAGATTAAGTAGCACAAATTGAAAAAAGATAAAAATCCTTTCCCTCATGGAGATTGCATTCTAGAAGAAGAGGGAAACAATAAATATATGCTCTCTTTGAAGATGAGAAGTATTATGATAAAAGGTGATGCAGAGAAGGGCGATGGAGATACATAGGGCACTGTTTTATACAAGAAGGTCAGAGAAAGAATCTCTGGTAATATACCTAAGGAATGCGAAAAAATGACCATGAGGTTTTTCTGAGGAAGAACCTTCCAGGTAGAGGGAAGAGAGATTATAAAAACCCTAATACAGGAGTTGTGTTGGCAAGTTTGAGGAACACTAAGGAGGCCACTATGACTGGAGTAGAATGATGGGGGTTAATAGAAAATGAGGTCAGGAAGATAAGGATCTTTCCGATTGTCAGATGAAGCAAGAGTGGAAACAGAATGACCATTGCAGAGATGATCTGAAACAAAGCAGGAAAGCAGTGATGGTGGCTTAGACCAGAGTGGCAACAGTGGGGGTGCTGTGAAATAATCAGGTTCCAGAGACATTTCGAAGGGAAAGCTTAGAAGTTTGGCTAATACATCTAATATTGGATGTGAGCAGCCAGATTTCCAGTTTGTGAATAGGAAATAGAGGACTGATCAAGTTGATCAAGAGCGAGATTAGGGTATACAAGTACAAATCAAGCAAAGGTCAACCCTGCGTACAGAAAGGAGGATTTGGGTGAAAGTCAGGAATGAAAAAGGGGCAGGCAAAGAATAGAGTAAGGGCAAGGAAATGGAGAAAAGCAATCTCACCGTCAAGGGCAGCCTCATTTTAAGCTTAGAAGGGCACAAGAGCTAAGTGTTTATTGCCAAGGATCAGGAACTACTGACTACAATTGCAGGACCAGCTCTCCTCAACTCCTTACATTAGATACAGGACCTCATTAGAAGGCAGTCCACAAATTTCTGGTCTCGGACCTGCTTTGTTGACAAAACTGGCTTATAAACAGTTACTTGAGGGGCCGGCCTGGTGGTGCAGTGGTTAAGTACACATGGTCGGCTCCTGCGGCCAGGGGTTCGCTGGTTCGGATCTCGGGTAC